CTCTCCCCGCCCCTCATCTCCTCCCTTCCTCCACCGTCCTTCACGAGCACGCCGCCTAGCTCTCCCCTCACTACCGCTGACGACCGCGAACGACCGTCTCGGGATCGACCGGGCGCAACATGCCCGTACTGGTGCGTTTCACTCACACTGATAGCCCAATGACAGCAGGTCGCGAAGACGACGCATGGGACGCGTCGAACGTCGCGCACATCGCGCTATTCGCCCACCCTTCATGCACCCGCAACCCCCGCCTATCGAGTCAAGTAAGCGTATCTTGCGATCGTGTCGTCCGCTCACGCTCACCTCGGCTCGTGTGTAGACACATCGTCCACGCCTGCCGAACGCGGCCACAAGCACACAGCACAAAGCATAAGAAATGGTGAGTACGCCGCTCGCACACCATTTCATCAATGAGCCAGCCGCTCACGTCCATCCAGTTCGATCGTGGCATGAGCCATCAGACTCGTCAACCCGGTATGCAGCACGCTCCCGACCGCGAACGATGCACAGCGCGACATCGATCTTTACCAGCTCGGTCCATCGCTGCCGAATCGCGATCACGAGGAGCAACCACCCTATGCCACACACCTCGAGCCTCTGCTCGACCACCTGCAAGCCCTCCGTGTAACGGACCGGCCGCTTTGATGAACCTTGTCGTAAGCAGGATCCGCACAATTCTCGCTTGCCGCTCACGGCGTTCCCAGCAGACGCGTTGGCCCCGTACGTCGTACACCGTGACGGCTCGCTCGTCCGCTGAATCGATGACCACCGCCCGCAGAGCCAAATATGACCGACGCGGACCGCCGGACTGCAAGACCTCCGCACACGTATAACATCGTCCCGTACGTTCTGTCCGCACATCCGTTGCACACGATACTGATGCCCGCCCTGCGCAGACTCGGGCACGAACACTGACGCTTCGCAAGGTAGGTCTTGCACCGACGGGCGCAGCGTGAGCTGACGTCGCGACTTGTGTATGTATGTTTCAGGCCGTAGGAAGAGATGGGAAGGAGGAAATATATTTCCTGAGGGTGGGACATGAGATGAATGACATACCTTGCACCGGCGGTGCCGTGAATGCGCGCTCAAGAGCGCATGCGCATGAATGAGCGACGTTTGAGGAAAGCGAGCTCGACGTCGCGCCCATAGTGCAGTCGCTCGCCTGAGACCGAGAGGTAAGTGCGCGAACGTGAGGGAGAGCTCACGTGGAGACGCGTTGTGCACAACGAGCTGGGCGACTGAGCATGAGCGCCGCGGGCGTTGGGCGCCGCTGTGAGTGTCAGGATCGAGACAGGGAGCGAGTTTGGGTACAAGAACGTCAGAGCGGTGGGCGCGTGGACGAGACTGTCGGCACAGAGCTGCAAGCCGAGGAGGAAGAGATGCGCGCGGTGATTGCGATGGCGGTCGCGCACACTGGGCTGTGCATGCTGTCAGGGCGAGAGAGGGAGAATGGAGGGGCGAGCACTCTGAGTGAGGCGGGCACAAGTGGTCTGTTATGGCTGAGAGGGCTCACGAGGAGAGGACGTCGTTGGATAGCAGCGTTGGCGGTACATGATGGACGTCAACGCGTTGCGGCGGGCAGGAGCGTGCACAAAGACGCAAAGATCGCGAGCATACAATGTTGGTGGGACTGGCCAAGGCGCGTGCTGCCAGCGAGAGCTGCACTGAAGTCGAACCTGCCCTGCCTCCTCGATTCGACGTCCGCCTCCCTCGCTCAATAATAGCGCGACGCTAGAGCTATCAGCGATGACTAGCGACGACAAATGCCAGTTCCCCGAGATGCACTACAGCATCACTCCAGACACCCGACGTCTTTACTCGATCTGGGCTCTCCCGGCCTCGCGTTGGAGCCACAACTTCCTGTTTTTCAAACTACCGATCGTGGCTACGTGGACCCGGCGGAACGTCACATCTCCAACTCTGCTCGGGACGCCTAACACAACCGATAACGCCTTCAAATTGCGACAGCGCGCGCGTCGCACGAGCGAGCACTATACCAGTGTCGCCTGCACGTGCGCAACGCTCAGCCTGAAATCGATCCTGCGCGGCTGATGCGCCATGCAGTACGTAACTCGCTACAGCGCAATCGATCCGCGCGTAACGCCAACGTATGCGCTGACCAGCGACCACCTTCTCAGATGCACGACCCTGCACCGCATGACACCAAATGACGCCTCCTGGCGAGCGTTCTCTGTTCACTCGGACGCGCAGGTGCGCAGGGCATGGCCGCTGGACCTGAACCGCCCCGCTAACAGGCGAATGCAAGGCTGGAAGGGAGGGTCAGCCGACGTTCCAAGCAGTGAATGGCGCGCAGGAAGAACCACACCAAATCCACCACGCGCGTACGTGCGCTCGGCAGCTTTCAATTGTCCAGACTCGACTGAAGCCTTCTTTCAGTTATCGAGAATCGCCAATATTGAGAAGCGTGAGGCTGCTCCACCGAAGGCGGTAGATGAGCCGTGCTCGACTGAATGAGACAGTTGGGCTGGGCTCGCGTCGCGTATGTGTTCCCGCCGACTTCCGGGTAATCGGCCTTGTTGAATGCGGGGTGCAGATCGCGCTGCTAGTGAGCCCGACTCGTGGAACAGGAGACCCAATGGCTGAATAGCGAACCAAGGATATGCGCATCGCGTGTAGCGTAGTCATGGGCGGCATGTATGGCAGAATATGTACAGTCTCAAGACGGGCTGGACTTGCATCGCGTATGTGTCCCCTCCGGCTTCCGGGTAATTGTCATTGTTGAATGCGGGGTGCAGATCGCGCTGCTAGTGAGCCCGACTCGTGGAACAGGAGACCGAATGGCTGAATAGCGAACCAAGGATATGCGCATCGCGTGTAGCGTAGTCACGAGCTGCAGGTATGGCAGAATATGTACAGTCTAAAGACGGGCTGGACTTGCGTCGCGTATGTGTCCCCTCCGGCTTCCGGGTAATTGTCCTTGTTGAATGCGGGCTGCAGATCGCGCTACTGGTGAGCCTGACCCGTGGAACAGGAGACCGAATGGCTGAATAGCGAACCAAGGATATGCGCATCGCGTGTAGCGTAGTCATGGGCTGCAGGTATGGCAGAATATGTACAGTCCTCATGTCACGATGTGGTACGTGTACAAGCTAGCAAGTACGATCATAGAACAGAAACAGTGCGGCACGGCGTAGGACGAACGTCGTGATATCGTACTCCAGCGCCGGGAACAAAGCATGCGTATGCAGACAGCAAAGTCAAGAATCCAAAGCGAGCGTCTACGCAGAGAGAGGCGATGCATGTCCGTCCGTCTCGCCACCTTCCTTCTTCCCTCCTCCGTCAACCAACCTCGCCACATCTACGCGCAACTCGGACCGCGTCGAGTCCGAGTCACATCACTGACACCCCATCGCGATCAGCTTCTCCCGCGCACCGACAGTGCCCAGTGACACTCATCATCGCACGCGCTACGCAGGAGCCGAACAGCGCCGCGCTCACGGGAACCGCCGTGCAGGCGGCGCAGTGACCACAGGCTCGGGAACGGGAACGGCTACCTCCTCGCGCTTCGCATACGCCACCGCGCCGCATCCCGACGTCGGGATCGTCGCGTCCACCGCGCTCCACGCATCAGGGTACGTGCACCCCGCGATCGCCGTCGGCGCGCTCCGCGTGTCGCTGCTCTCGGCCCACCCGTCACCCGTGCTCACCGTCGCGGCCGTGTACGTCGACGCCGCGGGCAGGCTCACGATCTTCGCGGTGCTCGTGTACTGAGGCAAATACGACTGCGATGCGGATGGCACGTTCGCGATGGACGCCGGCGGCCACACGCCATAGGTGGCTATGGAAGATGCGGCGATCTCGTTTGCCCCTGCGCCGCCTGTTGCCCAGGAGGAGTAGGACTCGTTCCAGTTGGTGTCCGTCACTCCGAGCGATTCGCACGTGCCCGAAGCGGTCCGCGGGTCTTTCGGTATCCAGCCGTGCTCCAGCCCGAGCTTGTATGACCAGAACGGTGCTTCAACGGTGCCACTGGTGGACGAGTTGTCGACCTGTTGATGAATTCGCTCGTCAATCACAACTCGCGCGATGAGAGCACGAGCCGAGAGCGCACGCACCTTCCAGGTCCAGAAGAACCAGTCTCCGAGCGCGTCCATGCTCGCCATCACGAACATCTTGAGGCCCTCGACGGTCTCGTCGCTCCACGACTCCCAGTCTTCCCAGTACTCGCAGTTGCCTCCGTACGCGGCCGAGGTGTTCACCCCGCGCACCCAGAGCCCACAGTCGTTGATCGCGGCGCTGAACTCGCCTGCAATGGTCACTCCAAAGTTGATGCGGCTGCCGAACAGAAGCATCGAAGCATCAGATGCAATCCGGACATGAGGATACCGCAACACGTCAGAAAGCGGATACAATTGCAAACGGCACGGGAACAAAACAAAAGGGACATCATGACAAAAACAAACAAGAGTTGGCACATCAGCTTCTAAAGGAGAATGGAGGAGATAGATGGACTTTGACAGACGGACCTTGTGTTCATCTCTGCGCCCCACGACGTGCACGCCAGTTTGGGCCATTGCCCGCCATACACGTCTGTGCTGTCCTGGCCCTCCGCGGTGACGTTCACCGGCTCGGTGTTCGCCAGGTTGTCGAACGCGAAATAAGGGTGCGAATCTGTGCGTTCGGGGCCGTGTGGCGATACGTCGCGGGAGACGTTGGACGAGTCCATCAGACGTCCGGGGCCACATCGAGGACGCAATCGCGATCGCGAAGTCCGGTTCGCGGGATGTCGCGGGGCGCACCGCGATTCGCCGGACGAGACGTCGTCGGCAACGCGTAGGAGGCCGCATACAGATGTGAGAAGCAAGGTGCGATGGACACGTCAGCTTGCGCCACAAGGGCACGCCGTCGCGGGAGAAGGAGGTACGCACCGAGAGAAATCCTGTCCGAGCCCGCGAGGAAGCCCGCCCAGTAGTCCGTGCCCATGAAGCCGTCGTGGATAGATATGTATGGTCTGATTTGTGGATGGTGATGCGAGCCGTGTGAGTCATGGTGACATGTGCCATGTGCATATGAAATGAACGACCGCAGAGAATGTTTTAGATGAGGACATGGATGGGGCAGAGAGGGATCTATACAGCTGCCCTTCATTGTATACTGATGCTGTTAACTCTGCCGTTATTTCTCATTCAACCGAGCACTAACCGTGACCATTTCATTGCTATAAGGCTCCTATGGGGTGCAAATACACGATATGAAATGGCTTTCTGTCGCTGCCACTCGTCCTCAATCCCATCACCGTGGTCCAAATGACCGCTTTGTGACCGAGCCTCTCACCCTGTGCTCGTTGCCTTCCAACAGTTTCAGCCCACAAATGGGAGTCTATGAGAAACACTGAATGTAGAGTGCAGGAGCCAATCGCTCACTTTCCCCAGTAGCTGCGCTGAATGCTTGACATCACCACCCAGCCAAAGATGTGCCGAATAAGCGCTCCAAACCTCAAGAGATAAGCATGATGCAACCAAAGCAAGCCACGATCGAACATGCGATCCTGCTCACATTGCAAGGACTTGCCATACGCAACATTCGGTCAGGCGCAAAAGCGTTTACGGCCCATAGTGAACGAAAAATGCTCTTTTTGGAGAGCAAACGTCACGTTTTGCTTCACGGAGCACAGAAATCAAGGTCCATTCAAAATTGATCATGCTAGCTCACTCGTACCTTGTTTGAATACAAATTTTCAGCGCAATGAACTCGCAGCGGGACATCACATGCAAAGACATTGTCATTCAACCGGCAACCAGGGAATGAATGAATGTCGCCCTATGCGACCATCAATGATACCCTGAAAGTGAGCAGAACACCGTGAGCGACCACTGAGGATTCCTACAATGGCATGAGATCTGAAGTATGCGTACCTTTCGACGTTATCCCTGAGTGGGATCTGATGGCCTCAGACCATAGCATCCTCATTTGCAAGTGTCTTTCAGCCCTGTAAGAATGGCAGTCTGTCAGTACTTTGTCATTCAATACAATGGTCGCAGCGGCACGTACTTGTGAACACTGAGGTGGATTTGAGCCATGCTCGGGTTCTTCTACCATTAGCCTGTCGCACCCACTGTCGCTATCGAGACTAACGTGAAAGAGGCCGTCGTATGACTCAGGAATGCAGTTATGGAGCGCACTGATGGAAAGGCTGTGCATTATTGGTCTTTGACCCTCATGTCGCTGGCACCGAATGTGCAGCCACACGACATCACACGGTCCGATGTGGGAACAAGACTCGGCAAGGAGGACATTGAGCGGAGTTCTTTCATCTGTGCGGCAGGCAAAAGTTCTGCCCGAAATACAACGCACCCGGTAACGCGTTACATCCTTCGAATTGGGGTCCTGATGAGTGGCATGTGACCGTAAGGCTTGATCGGAACATTGCAGATCAGCGGACGATTCGTCGAACCGATGGCGTGGATAAGATGCCCGCCTCTCCGAAGGCAATCTCGTGGGTGCATCCTCTCCGCTGCTTGTTCACGAGATTAATCATATGTATCGCAGGACCCCAAACTCAGCGTCCGCAAGTCAGTGCACCGCCGGCTCGGCCGCTTCAGCGCAGTCTGCATGCCCTGCACCTCTGCCATTTAGAACCCGGATGAGAGGCTGTGACCGCCGGTGCTCTCGCTAAAAGGATGGCCGTGCTGCGTGCATGTCCAGGTGCCGTCGAACCGCCGTATTGTGACCGCGTTCTATCGGCTTCAAGGAAGCAAGAGGCCCAAGGTCTGGGTGTTGTCCTCGCGGGTCGGATCGCTCCGCTGCACAGTTCTTTGTCTCGTCCGTTGATTTATGAAGATATACCTTAACGGCATGCTCATGGCCATCGTCATTACATTTGCAAAGAGCGACATTTCGCTTTCGGCGTTTGCGTACAGGGGAACGTATGCCAATCTCCAACATTTCGAACATGGGTGCACTCGCGACGCTCACGACAAGAGCCTGAAATCATCCTGCCCGTTCTGATGATATCAAGGTTACTTCTCTGCCACGGTTTCTCCCACAGCAATAGCAATAGAACCAGAAGGCGACGAATCCGTCTGAACGGGACGGCGTATCGATATTCCATAGCCATAAGCAGTACGAGAGGTCCCATATGAAACAAGGCAGGTCTCGTCAGCTTCTCCGAAGTACGGAATGTCGAGTCACCCAACGGCCTCGCCCGCGCATGAAGCCCGCACCATCAACTTCTGCTGCGCCTGCAGGCTGATGGACCGTTCGACAAGGTCCATGGACTCCATTCAGCGATACACCAATGCGCCAACCTTCCCGCACCGAATCTGACTTGCGCAAGCTGGTCTCTCGCGCATCGGCCACTCCAAACGGCACTGTCGCCTCCCTGGCACACTCTCCACTCGCCGAGTACACCTGCCAAGCTCCCAGGATATCGCTCTACCAGCGCGCATTCTTTGATGGACGCGAACGAGTCATCACATTGCTTCTTTCGCCTGCATCGAGGCTTCGCCGACGGTCGCATTAATGTCATTTCGGGGGACATATCACCCAAGGGAACTCACGCTGCTGACAGAACGGAGTCCCCAGATCACGCCACGGAAGGTTAGGTCACGGGTCGGTGCACTTGCAAGGTATAAATGATGGGGCACGGAGATGAGATTCGGCACCTCTCCCCGCCCCTCATCTCCTCCCTTCCTCCACCGTCCTTCACGAGCACGCCGCCTAGCTCTCCCCTCACTACCGCTGACGACCGCGAACGACCGTCTCGGGATCGACCGGGCGCAACATGCCCGTACTGGTGCGTTTCACTCACACTGATAGCCCAATGACAGCAGGTCGCGAAGACGACGCATGGGACGCGTCGAACGTCGCGCACATCGCGCTATTCGCCCACCCTTCATGCACCCGCAACCCCCGCCTATCGAGTCAAGTAAGCGTATCTTGCGATCGTGTCGTCCGCTCACGCTCACCTCGGCTCGTGTGTAGACACATCGTCCACGCCTGCCGAACGCGGCCACAAGCACACAGCACAAAGCATAAGAAATGGTGAGTACGCCGCTCGCACACCATTTCATCAATGAGCCAGCCGCTCACGTCCATCCAGTTCGATCGTGGCATGAGCCATCAGACTCGTCAACCCGGTATGCAGCACGCTCCCGACCGCGAACGATGCACAGCGCGACATCGATCTTTACCAGCTCGGTCCATCGCTGCCGAATCGCGATCACGAGGAGCAACCACCCTATGCCACACACCTCGAGCCTCTGCTCGACCACCTGCAAGCCCTCCGTGTAACGGACCGGCCGCTTTGATGAACCTTGTCGTAAGCAGGATCCGCACAATTCTCGCTTGCCGCTCACGGCGTTCCCAGCAGACGCGTTGGCCCCGTACGTCGTACACCGTGACGGCTCGCTCGTCCGCTGAATCGATGACCACCGCCCGCAGAGCCAAATATGACCGACGCGGACCGCCGGACTGCAAGACCTCCGCACACGTATAACATCGTCCCGTACGTTCTGTCCGCACATCCGTTGCACACGACACTGATGCCCGCCCTGCGCAGACACGCACACTGACGCTTCGCAAGGTAGGTCTTGCACCGACGGGCGCAGCGTGAGCTGACGTCGCGACTTGCGTATGTATGTTTCAGGCCGTAGGAAGAGATGGGAAGGAGGAAATATATTTCCTGAGGGTGGGACATGAGATGAATGACATACCTTGCACCGGCGGTGCCGTGAATGCGCGCTCAAGAGCGCATGCGCATGAATGGGCGATGTTTGAGGAAAGCGAGCTCGACGTCGCGCCCATAGTGCAGTCGCTCGCCTGAGACCGAGAGGTAAGTGCGCGAACGTGAGGGAGAGCTCGCGTGGAGACGCGTTGTGCACAACGAGCTGGGCGACTGAGCATGAGCGCCGCGGGCGTTGGGCGCCGCTGTGAGTGTCAGGATCGAGACAGGGAGCGAGTTTGGGTACAAGAACGTCAGAGCGGTGGGCGCGTGGACGAGACTGTCGGCACAGAGCTGCAAGCCGAGGAGGAAGAGATGCGCGCGGTGATTGCGATGGCGGTCGCGCACACTGGGCTGTGCATGCTGTCAGGGCGAGAGAGGGAGAATGGAGGGCCGAGCACTCTGAGTGAGGCGGGCACAAGTGGTCTGTTATGGCTGAGAGGGCTCACGAGGAGAGGACGTCGTTGGATAACAGCGTTGGCGGTACATGATGGACGTCAACGCGTTGCGGCGGGCAGGAGCGTGCACAAAGACGCAAAGATCGCGAGCATACAATGTTGGTGGGACTGGCCAAGGCGCGTGCTGCCAGCGAGAGCTGCACTGAAGTCGAACCTGCCCTGCCTCCTCGATTCGACGTCCGCCTCCCTCGCTCAATAATAGCGCGACGCTAGAGCTATCAGCGATGACTAGCGACGACAAATGCCAGTTCCCCTGGGAGTACCACGACGTCTTTACTCGACTCGAGCCACAACTTCCTGTTTTTCAAACTACCCGGCGCGCATCGAAAACAAACGTGAGCAGAGAGAGATGCATCTCGACGTGCGCACAGCCAGCAGCACCGCGCTCCAAGCGAACGCGGCGTCAAGCGAAGGTGGCTCGCCCCACGTGTCGCGAGCCACCCTCTTCATCCCAAAACGGCAGCGCGTTCCCGCTGCGCTCTCCCATTCGCTGCAGACATTCAATTTCGTCCATGCAGATCGATGCCGCCGTCCTCGTGGGCCCATATATCCATATCTGGCGCACATTATTTATGCGACACGCGCGGACCACCCGATGTGGATTTTCGCAGAGATCCCATCGCCGGGTCGCGCGCGACCACCGCCGGCCAATCGCATACACGGGCCAATGGCAAGCTCTCCCCGTTTAAGATAGATAACGGCGGCCACCCCACCGGTAACTTGCTCATTTGGTTATGGTAAATGGTGTGCCACTTGGGATTGCCAACAAAAAGAGCCTAACCGTCCAATGCGAGCGCATTTGCACGGATGCAGATGCTCCCGTTCGGTCCGCCCCAACCGCGATCTCAGCGGAGTGCAGTGTCAGAGACACAACGCGGGTGCACATCCATGCTGCCTCGACAGAATCCGCCACTGGCCCACCCGCGCTGCTCGGTGCGTGACTAACAGGGCATGCAGGCCGCCGATCGCGTAACGGTCACGTTCTTCGTCTTTGCGTTCGTTGCGTTTCGTCCGAAGTGCGCGACGCGCGAGGAGCATCGTCATCATGATGAACACGGTCGTTATGCAATGCAATCCTGCCTGCGAGCGCTCAAGTTGCCAACTTACGATGGAGCGGGAGAAGCTCACGGTTTGCGATGCGGGCACCCGGATGCCGGCACTCTATCTATCAGCTCGGCTAGTGTCCTTTCGAGGCCTCCAGCTGAACTTTCCTATACACGGACACGCACTGAACGCGATCGGAGCGTCAAAGCCGCAAATCGTGTTGGTGCAGAGCCGCCTATCACCCAACGGAAGGGTGAGTGCTTTTTATCATCGTTCGAGCAGGCAATGGAAGTGCCACCGCAAACAGTAGGCGGGTTCAATTTCTCGTCCCACTCACCGAGGCCCCCAATTTCTATCCGCCAAATACGCTCTAGCACGTAACGCCTCGGCTGTCTTCTCGGAATCGCTCGTCAATCCGAATTGTGATCTCGCTTAGGGCTTGCAGACATCTAGACAACCGTGCAAGCGCGAACGCGAAATTCACGGTCGCGGGAGAAGGTGGCTCGGGACCTCGCGAAAGCCTCCTCGGTGTGAAGTCTGCCATGCGAACGACATGAAAAGCCCCAAACGTGCTCGCTGGAGTGCTGGCTGAAATATCACGCGCGGCAAGCCCCGTCGTGCACGACGGAGCCGGAAGGGCGACTCGAACGCACTTCGAGGTGAGCCCCGGGTGGAATAATAACAGCATGTATACGTACGCCTTCC